GTTATGGTCCTCGAGAGTTTAGCTTGAATTCCCTTTAAAATTGGAATTGAGGTGTGCCGTGCCAAATAAAATCTAAAAATGCATGGCCCTCATTTAATTAATATTTTAATCCCTAAAAATCGAGGCGAGCCATTTAGTTGAATTTTCCATGGCCCTCGCAAAGTTGAAAGTGCGGAGTTGCTTTAGGCGCGTTATTTTAATAATTTACCTTCCTAAACTCGGGTGCGCATTTATGTGACCCAAATCCAAATCTCAACAATGTTAGATAAAAATGTGTTGCGGACTGCGGGTGCATTTATGTGATGTGGTTCAAAACGCGTTTTATGTAATATTGAATCTTCCTAAAAAATATTAAATAAAAGCGGTTATAAAGTTGAAATTGAACCATAGGTTAAAACATGTAATAAAATCAGATAATAGGCCAATTATAATAGTTGAGCGACCGTGCTAGAACCACGAAATCTGGGAATGCCTAACACCTTCTCCCGGGTTAACAGAATTCCCTACACGGATTTCTGCGTTCGCGGACTGTAAAACAGAGTCAATCTTTTCCTCCATTCGAAATTTGAACCGGCGACTTGGGACACCATAAAATTATCCCAAGTGGCGACTCTAAATTTTTTAATAAATAATCCCGTTTCGATTGTCACTTTAATTAAAAAAAACTCCCTTATACCCTTCCGGGGTGTAGGAAAAAGGAGGTGTGACAGCTCTGGCGACTCTGCTGGGGAAAAGAACCCAGGACTCCTGGTTCAGGGTTCAAGAATTCGAGCTTTGAATAATTGTTATATTTGGCTTTATTTACTGTCTGATTTTATTACATGTTTGGGCCTAATGTGCTAAATGTTGCTTTTACCGCTTTGATACTATCTGAACTGTATATAAACTGCTACGAAACCCCTCTCTTCTCTCTTCTGAGGAGTGCACGCCGGCGTGACTTCTTTCTGTTAGTGTCATATCCCAAATAGAACGAGGTTCGGACAAGTTGCAAAGCCGGATGATCTTTTGGTTCCGCGCCCGAATACCCCAAACTTAGAATCAATGCAGTAGGAACGCCTATTTGCATCATATGCATTTGACTTTGGGGACTCAACACAGGGGTTGGGTCCGTCTAGGACAGGTGTACCCGAAAATAAAAGACCAACCTGATGCATTTTATGTGCTACCTGTGCATTTAATTTGTTTCAGATTGCATGTTGACCGGCCTCTAGATTGAGTGAGGAAAACCAAAAAGAAAAAAAAACCGAGTTGAGGTATGAGAGAGGATTTCACCCATTTCCCAAAAATGATGCCCAAAATGTCCCGGAGCTCTGCCAAATTTTTGAAAAAAAGAGAAGAAAAAGGATTTCTTGAAAAGAGTAGAATTAGTCCGAAATTCATGTCAAAACTGCGGGTTTGATTCTCACCGGATGTGGGATATGTTGGCAACCCTCATCGGGTCCAGCCTCGCTTTTTGAAAATTTTGGGAAAATATATGAGGCGTCGTCATTTTGGTGCAAATAAAATAGGTCATGCCGTTCTTGTCTAAAATAGCCGAACGTCCCAACGGGACGCCGAAAGGCTGTTTTTGCAAGAATAACCGCGGACCGTGTTTTGTCAAATTTTGGCCACCTAGCGAGCACAACCCTAAAAACATCCATTTCAAAGTGTTGAGGGGCCGTATTCGCAAAAGTAGCCCTGACTTCTTGATTTTTTTTTTCAAAAATAACCCCTTTTGTCAGTTTTTCAAATGAGATTCACTTTGTGTGTAAACCAATCCCCCTAATCTGAATGTGCAGAATGAGCACGAGTCAAAATTTACTAATGAAGGTCGTGTCCAAGATTCCGTTGGATATACACATGTGGTGGGAAGATTTGGGTGAAGAAGGACGAGATGTGGTCAACCATTATTTGGGAGGGCTCATCGGATTGATGAAGATCAGGCCTAGAGGAGACATAATAAGGGCATTGGTAACATTTTGGGACCCAGCTCACAACGTCTTGCATTTCTCAGATTTTGAACTCACACCCACCTTGGAAGAGATAACGGGTTATATGGGAAGTACTGAAGGGCTAAGGCATAAGTATCTGGTCGCTCCAAGAACTGTTAGCTCTCACAAGTTCCTGGATCTGCTAAAGATAAGCAAGGGGGTCCAGTACGCTGATTTGGCGGATGGTTTTTCCACTCTACGCTTCATATACCAAAGGTATGGGCATGTAGGGGGATTTGACAACCGGGAGAGTGGGGTTTGTAGCAAAGGGAACCGAGCAAAATGGGAAGAGCATAGGCGTTTCGCTTTCATGGTAGCTTTCTTAGGCCTCGTGGTGTTTATGGGAATATCGATCTGCGGGTGGCTGGAGTCGTCAAAGTCTTGATTACCAACGCCAAGAGCACCCTCGCCCCTATGATAGTATCTGAGATATACCGAGCTCTTACAGCGTGTAAAGCTGGGGTAGACTTCTTCGAGGGATGCAATTTGCTATTACAGATGTGGATGATCGAGCACCTGTGTCACCGCCCTCAATATATGAGTTATGGGTCCGCAGAGAAAAGCTGCATTGAAGAGTTTGACACAAGGGTTTCAGGGTTCAAGCTGCCAGAAGGGTTTGGAGAGTGGGTATCCCGCCTTCGCTCCATCACTGCGGGGCAAATAGAGTGGACACTAGGTTGGCTTCCTGTTGAATAAATTGTGTATATGCCTGCCATCGGTCCTTACCTCCTCCTAATGGGTCTTCGAGGAATTCAGCCTTACGCTCCATACCGGGTGATGAGACAGTTGAGAATATACCAGGTGACGCACCCAGATGAAGATCTTAGTGTTTATGCGGTCGAAGCCAGCTCTGACGACCAATTTCATGAAGAAACAGTTCGTCATATTTGGAACGAGTGCTAGTATTTGACAGCAGACACTCGAGTGTGTGACTTATCTAGAGGCGAGGTCTCGCCTATCTTGCCTGGTATAGGAAGAAGAAGACCGCAAGAGCCGAACCTGAAAGACCAACAAAAAAGCCTCACATCCAGGAATTTGTTGAGGCGTCGCACGAACAGTGGGCTTGGTTGGCCAAGGAGAATGAATATAGGGCCACAATAGGCAAATTGGAAAAATAAGTCAGGGATCTTCAGTTTAAGAATGGTTTGCAAGCCGCCGCGGATGAGGGCGAAAAGAAAAGCTACCCAAGGAAAAGGATGCCCTCCGAGCCCAATTTTAGGAAATGAAAAAAGCAGCCGAAAACCCCGCTAGAAGTGCAAAAGATGAAAAGCTTATAGCTAATCTTAGATAGAAAGTGGGTGAATATGGTTTTGATCTGAACAAGGCCGAAGGCTAACTGGCAAGAGCTCGAACGAAATTGGCCAAGAATGTGGAGGAACGAGCGCGCTTGGTTAAGCAGTTAAAAGAGAAATATGACAATGAGGTTGTGGGGTTGAAGAAAAAGATCACCGTCCTTGAGAACAAAATGATTAAGCAGGCAAAAGACTTTAAAGCAGAAAGAGAGCACTGTTATGCAGCAATGGCACAGTTAGAAAGAGATTTGCAACAACTTCAAGAACAGAATCATGTAGCTGAGCAAACTTTGGAAGCTAGGGCCCAACAGATTGGGCGTTTGTTGCAAGAGAAGGGTGTCATAAGAGAAAGGGTCAGAAGGATCGCCGACTACATCGCGATGAAGTGCAGTAGGTGTGAGGACATGACTAGGTCCATGTTCTTTTCCATTGTAATGACCTTTGTCCGCCAGATAATGGAGGATCTCTACCATCTTCAAGGGGATTTGGTGCGTAGGCTCGTGGTGAGACCGACAGATGTCCCGCGGGCCCCAGGAACAGTTGAGGCACTGATGTATTCGTGATTTTTACTCGAGTCTGTATTTTCTTTCTGTTGGAGTCTGTTAGTCTGTTTTTGAGTCTGTATTTTCATCTTCCTGTTGAAGTTTTTTAGTTTCCCTTTTCGAGTCTGTTAGTTTTTATGGTTAAAATTCGGTATGATGAGTCGTTGTAATCAAAACGTTTTATTTTTATGAAAAAATTTTGAAAATCCCAAAATGTTTTTATTATCTTTTCCCTTATTCCCCAGAACTACGCTCGGTCTGATTCATGCGGGGTCATAATACGTAGGCAATCTCCATAAGATTCGATCATAACAAAAAGAAAAAAAAAGAATGAAAAAAGAGAGAGAGAAAACCAAAAGAGAAAAAAAAAAGAAAAGAGAGAGAAAACCAGAAAACGTGGGAAGGAAACAATGGCAAAAAAAGAGAGAGAAATGAGAGAATAAAGAACAATGAGAAATCAAGCAAAGAAAGGCATGAGTGAAAAAAAAAGAGATGAGGAAGTTGCAAACGGAAATTAGGGAAAGCCGGGATGACGCAAGCAACCGATCAAATGCATAATAGAAACGGTTAACTGCTTAGGTGCATTACATCCCCCAAATGTGCGGTTGCCTATCTGTTAAGCTCTAATCGCTAACAAGTTTGTTTTTGATAATGAGTCCAGGCAGGTGGTTAGTTTGTTTGGCATTCTGGCAACTCACCCATACAACACCCGGTCCAAAAACAAATTGATCATGGCCAACCAAAAACTGGACGCAAGTATCGTCGATCCGTCGAGAGAGGGGGAAGAGACGGATGTAAATCTGAAAGAAGAGTTGTATAAGCTGAAACAACAGATGGTCAAAATGTACCAGGCATGGGCAAAAGGGCACCCACCACCACCTTACCCCGCCAACCCTGCCTTTGTCCCGCCATTGGCTCAGTCCCAGGAACCTCCCACGGCCGATTCATCACCGGGCTTTCCCATTTACCACCACTACCAGAGCACCACCTCCCAAACACCACAAGCTCCACCACCCAAACCAGTTCCATACCCTCCTCCACCAGCCACTCCTGTTTTCGTGGCACCCCCACCCGCTACACTTCACCGATCCTCTAGCGAGCCTTTATTCCAAGCCCACGATAACCAATATTACCCCCCGGAGCCCACTTTCAAGGCTCCAGAACCCTATTCCTACACTCCTCGCTTCGATCTCCCTATGGAAACTGAGAAACCATCTAAAAATCCTGAACAGGAGGAGATGTATAGGAAGGTTAAGAGCCTGGAACAGTCATTCATGAATATGCAAGGGTTGGGAGGTCAGGTAAGCATGGCTTACAGAGATCTATGTTTATTTCCAGATGTTCAGTTGCCGACGGGGTTTAAGATGCCCAAGTTTGATTTGTATGATGGGCATGGAGACCTGGTGGTGCACTTGAGAGGTTTCGGTAGCAAAATGAGGGGAGCTGGCGGGAAAGACGAGTTACTAATGGCGTATTTGAGTCAAAGTCTGAGTGGTTCGGCGCTGGAGTGGTACACTCGGCAGGATCACGGCAGATGGTATACATGGGATGATCTAGCCCAGGCAGCAAGGGTTGACCCTCCAATGAAAGAAAGCGAAATGGTGGATTATTTTCTGCAGGCCTTAGAACCTACTTATTACGGCTATCTAGTATCAGCTATAGGCAAGTCCTTCAATGAAGTAGTGAAGATGGGCGGTATGGTAGAAGAAGAGCTTAAGTCAAACAAAATCATGAGCTATTCGGCTATTAAGGCAACTACCCAGGCCATTCAGAGCGGTACTAGGGGAGTAATCGGAAAGAGGAAGAAAGAGGATGTGGCAACGATTGATTCAGGAGCTTGGTTCGGACCCAGGGGCTCGTCTAAAACCTACCCCCATACCCCGTATAATCCACCCCAATACTACTACCCACCACCAGACCCCTATTTTTCTGTCCACCATGCCCAAACATACAACCAACCCCCCGCCCACGCACAATGGCGTGCGCCCCACGAGCCTGACTAGACCAGATTTCCGGCCCAATCAAGCATTTAAGAATGAGAGGTCCATTGGGAGAGTCCTATACTAGTTTGTTCCACAGGCTAAGACAATTGGATATGCTGAGGCCGATCGAGTCAAAATTACCAAATCCTCCCCCGAGAAATCTTGATTATTCTGTAAGCTGTGAATATTGTTCTGGTGCTCTGGGGCATGATACGGAGAAATGCTGGCATTTGAAAAATGCTATCCAAGAGCTCATTGATACAAATCGGATTGAAGTCCAAGCTCCGGAGGCACCCAACATCAACCAGAACCCGCTGCCTGTGAGCACGTGATTTTTCCCCTATATGAATTACTCCCATAGTTTCAAAACAAAACAATTTCGTCCAGTATTTGCAATTTTGTGAATTTTCGTGGCATTTTATGTTAATTGTTTGCATTTTGTCCGTACATTTTAATTCATATAAAAATATAAAAAATATGCATTGCATTTAGGGTTTAAGTTTACATATTTTGGAGTTAATTAGTAATTAGGAATTTTGCAAAAAAAAAAAATACAAAAAGTCACAAAAATAGTTTATCTTGGCTTTGTTCAATTTGTAGCTTTGAATTCTTGCTAGTTTGATATTTGATTAGTTTGTGATAATTGTAAGAGTTAATTAATTTGACTTGGTAGTTTAATTTAGTTTTCAGAATTAATTGAGGGTTTTAGTTTAATTTTAAAATAGGAATTAAAAGAAATTAGAAAAAAAAATTGAAAAAAAAGAGAAAAGGAAAACAAAAGAGGGGATCAGATTTTTGGCCCAATCTTTGATTCAAAGCAGCAGCCCAAACGTTTTTAGCCCAGACCCGTTCCAACCCAGCCCAAATCACTCCCCAAACCCGGTACCAGTCCCTACTAGCATGAAACGACCCCGTTTCTGTGGGCCGTGATGGGAGCCGTTCGATCTCGTGGGATCAACGGCTGAGAACTGATTGGGATGACACTAAAAAAGTGTCCGAACGGGACCCCCCCCTTTCTCAAACCCATCTCCCTCGTTCACCCCTTTAGAAAACCCTAACGCCCGCCGCCCTGTTCTCCACCGCTGTTGATGGCGGCGCCGGTGTCCAAACCCCACAAAATGAACACCCTAGTATCTCCTCACTCCCCACATCCCCAATCCAAGATCAGTATCCTTCAAACATGCCTGGAATCCCTCGAATTTAGGTTTGAAGCCAAGAACGCTAGCGCCGCCCAACTTTCCCCGGTGGCGGCGCCACCTCCAAATCACCCCAAAACAATACCCCATGACCCCCAGGCCTCCTCCATGCCTAATATGGCAAACACACCCTTCGATCCACTCAGAGTTGCTCCAATCTTAGATCCGAGGTCCAGTTTCAACGGTTCGAACTCAAGCATCGTCCTGCATAAATTGACGCTGCTCGTACATATTAGAACATCAAACGTAGTGTCAAGATTAATCAGTAAGACTTCCTTTTTCACTTGGGTTTTTATTTGTTCACATTCCATCCTTGTTCTTCATGTGAATTGATTTGGAATTTGTGTTTAATTGATTTTTGTTCGTTCTGTGTTAGCTTTATTTTTATTTTTGGTTTAATTTTTGGCCTTGTTAATTTTCCTGTGTGTCTGATTCGTTGCTTGGTCTTATTAACATAAGCTTTAAACCTTTAATTCTCACTTTTATTGAGTAGTTTGATTTTTCTGTTATTAATGTTAACTCAGTTTGATTCATATTTTTGTGTTCGATTTCGATTTATGATTGTTGCTGTGGTATTGATTTTATTTCGCTATTGTTAATTTAGCCTTAGTATTAATTAGGGTTAAATTCTAATTTTGGTTAATTAGTTTAATTTTTAAGTTTTCTAAGTGTTTGAGTATAGCTGAATGTTCCAATTAGTTAACTATGGTTACCTTCTTGACCAGGGTAACAGGGTTGGGGTTGGTTTAACTAGGTTGGTAATTTTCAGAATAAAAAGGGTAGTTTAGGGAGTTCAACTCAGGGAATCTTTGGTAACAGAAATTAGAAGCCCCTAGAAGCACCTAGAAGGGGTCCTAATTGGAGTTTTAGAAACATAGTGGTGTGACTTGGGTAGCAAGTCAGTAAAGGAGGAATTTCTAAGCTAAAAAGCAGGAATTTAAAAGGGACTAAAGTGCAAAGTTAAACTAGGAGGGTTGCCCTATAGTTGAGCTTATATAAGGTAGCATTCTTGCCTTTGAAGGCAAGAAAGAGGGAGCTAAAAAAAAATCAGAGGCGTATACATTCTAAAATCTGAGAGATTTGTTTTTTTTTTTTTTAAGGAAATGAAGATTCTAATGTTATCTATTCCTTCTCAGCATGTTTAGAGTTTATATGGAAACTGGCCCGTTATTAATTAACTAGTAGGTTTTGGGCTTTTCGAGTTAAGTAGCGGGCTCGAGCTAAGAATTTCTTCAATAATGCCTCCAAATCCAAATCCTAACGTTGATAAAACGTGTCGAGGATCCGGGTGCATTTCATGTGACGTGATCTAAAAACATGTTTTAAACGACGTTCATTCCTAAAGCGGTTAAAAATTAAAATGCACATAGGTTTGAACATGTTCTAAAATCAGATTTTAGCTAAATATAGCAGTTGAGCGACCGTGCTAGAACCACGAAACTTGGGAGTGCCTAACCCCTTCTCCCGGGTTAACAGAATTCCTTACTCGGATTTCTGGTTCGCGACTGTTAAACAGAGTCAAACCCTTTTCCTCGATTCGGGATTCAAACCGGTGACTTGGGACACCATAAATCTCCCAAGTGGCGACTCTGAATCTTTTAATAAAATGAATCCTGTTTCGATTGTCACTTCAAGTTGGAAATAACTCCCTTTATTATACCCCTTCACGGGGTGTAGTAAGAAAAAGGAGGTGTAAACCCATCAAGAGACAAACATGATCGAGATAGTGCATAAAGAAGGGGAGCCTAAAAAGCCTTCGCAGACCGTCATGATGATCCGGTCCAGTGAGGTCAAAGCGGTTGAAAAATCAATAAGTGAGAGATCAGTGATCAAGTTGAGCGGGACAAACAGTGAACCATCTGCGGTAGTCAAGAAGGGGTCCTCAAGTGATGTTGCAGCGAAACAAGAGAGGGCAAAACTGGTTGTGCCAGGAGTGGAGAACAAGCCTGTCGTAATTGTGGAGGGTGCTCGCACAGATCCTGTCATTATCAAACCTGTAACCCAGTTACCGATAGTCAACAGCAAGGCTATCCCTTGGAATTATGAATGGGTGACTGTGACTTACAAAGGAAAATAAATTAAAGAAGAAGTCTATGAGACCCATGGATTGACTCGTTCGGGGAGATGCTTTGCCCCCGAGGAATTAAGAAAAGCTAAAACCTACAAAGATAACCCAGTGCTAGTGAAGAAAGCTGTGACTGAAGAAGACGCAGAAGAGTTTTTGAGAAAGATGAAAGTGCAAGACTATTCCATCGTGGAGCAGTTGAGAAAGACGCCTGCTCAGATTTCACCGTTGTCATTGTTAATCCACTCAGACGAGCATCGTCAGGCCTTGATGAAAATCCTAAACGAGGCTCACGTTCCCGACAAAATCTCAGTGAACCATTCGGAAAAGATAGCCAACAAGATATTGGAGGTAAACAGAGTCACTTTTTCAGATGATGAGTTGCCCGTGGAGGGTACTGAGCACAATAGAGCCCTCTATCTTACGGTGAAATGCGAAGATTTCGTGGTTACCCGGGTATTGGTCGACAATGGTTCTAGTGCAAACATTTTCCCTCTCTCTACTCTGAACAAGTTGAAAGTGGATGATAAAAGGATTCACAAGAACAATATCTGCGTTCGGGGGTTTGATGGTGGAGAGAAAGATTCAGTCGGTGATATAGTGCTTGAGCTGACAATAGGACCAGTTGAATTACCATGGAGTTCCAGGTGCTGGATGTAGCTGTTTCCTACAATCTGTTGTTAGGTCGACCTTGGATTCATGTCGCCAAAGCAGTCCCTTCTACTCCACACCAGATGGTCAAGTTTGAATGGGATAGACAGGAAATTGTTGTACACGGCGAGGATAATTTGTGTGCTCCCAGTGATGCCATTGTTTCGTTCATTGAGGTTGAAGACGACAAAGGACCTTGGGTCTACCAGGTTTTTGACACAGTGTCGGTTGAGAAAATTCCAGAAGGGAAATGCGTTCCAATTCCGAAGGTAACCGCCGCATCGGTCATGGAGGCCTTTGAAATGTTTAAAAATGGTTTCGTACCTGGTAAGGGTTTGGGTGCATCTCTGCAAGGCATCATACAGCCGGTGTCTCTTCCTAAAAACTTGGGTACATTTGGTCTAGGATTCAAGCCTACAGCTGCAGACGTGAAAAGAGCCAGAAAGTTGAAACAAAGGGCATAGATCCTTCCAAAACCTGTCCCACATCTCTCCAGATCATTTGTCAAGCTTGGTACCAGGAAGCGCCCAGGGACAACAGTTCCCAGTTCAGTGGTTGATGTTGATGGAGAGTTGATTGAAAGGTTCGAGAGGTTGTTCGACGATGTGAACATGGTGGAAGTTGGAGAAGGCTCTAGCAAGGAAGATATGTAGTTTGTTGGGCCGAGTGCAAAACTTAGCAATTGGGAAGCTACTCCTCTCCCTACCCGAAAGGAGTTTTGGTAGTTTGCTTTGATTTTCTTTCAGTTTATCTGGATTATTCCAGGGTTGTAATTCAGATTCTATGTTCCGTCCGTTTGGATGTATAAACCTTGTTATCTTTTGATTTCAATGAAATGCAATTTCCCTTTTTCATCATTCCTGATAGTTTTATTTTTGTTTATTTTCTTCCTTGTACAGTTCTATTTATGCTGGTTTCAATGACATGACATGCATGAGGAATCTCCGGCCCAGTCTTAAAAGCCAATCTAATTCTGAAATAATAATCCAAGAAATAGAGTGTGATGATGAATCAGAATATGATGATGATGAGGCCTTTGAAGAGACTAGTAAAGAATTAAGCCATTTCGAAGAAAAACCCAAGCCCAACCTGAATGATACAGAAGCAATCAATTTAGGGGACCCAGATAATGTCAGAGAAACTAAGATAAGTGTCCATCTTGAACCACAAATCAGGTAAGAGATAATTAAAGCATTGTTTGAATACAAAGATATTTTCGCATGGTCATATGACGACATGCCGGGTCTAAGCACTGACTTGGTGGTTCACAAATTGCCCACTGACCCGGCGTTCCCTCCCGTCAAGCAGAAGTTGAGGAAGTTTAAAACTGACATGAGCGTGAAGATTAAAGAAGAGGTCACAAAGCAGCTTGACGCAAAGGTCATTCGAGTCACGCGGTATCCCACTTGGTTATCTAATG